GGATGTGACTGGTGGAGCCGGTAGGAGATACCCTGGGCTGAGCCGGTGCCGTTGGGAGTGGGCAGGATAGGGGCCAAGGTGACGTCTGCGCTGCACCTTTCTTCATCCTCTCCTTCCAAGCCGTATCTGCCTGGTTGCTCGCTCCATCATCACCTAGACAAGCAGAGTGAGTAGAGCTGGTGGCACCAGAGGCTGAGCTATGGGCTGGTCGCGCTGCTCCTCGCCGGGGACCACTTTCCCCCAGGTGGAATGGAAAGCCTCCCAGCTCCTCAACCTCTGCCCACCAGGAGAAGACCAGTAGCTGTAGCCCCATGGGTGTCCTTCATGGCAGTTCACTTTCCCAGGCAGAAGGACGTTGCAGGGGGCTTTTGCAGGTCACTTCTAGCACGCACCTTCTCCCGTGGAACAGAGGAGATGGTGCTCTTCATTGCTTTCCCCTTTTAATTTGAATTTGCGAGTTTTTTGGACCACTTTGGTCAGAGGAAGTGAAGAGGACACTCCAAATGTCATCAAGTAAATCCCTTGACACCTGAGCAATGGTGTGTTCATCAGAAGTGCAGAACAGCCAGAACTACTTCCTGCACTGCCTCTGTGGGTGCAGCTGCTCCGTGCTGCCGCACAGCTCAGCTCAGCTCTGCTCTGCCTCCCCCTCACCCTGGGGTGCTCTTCCACACACCTCATGGCTTTGGTGGTTTGCAGAAGTGTTCCTGGTTTTCTGCTATGCCACCATAGTTGCCATGCCCCAGTCACCAGCCTTTGGGTGACCACACCAGAGACAGCTGGTAGGAACGTAACAGTGGTATCAGTAAGGCCAGAAATTCTCAGGGGAGATTTGAGTCCAAGCTTGGGAGAGGAGATGCATCTTATGCATCCGAGGGTGCTGCCTGGGCTTCCACATATGAGTAGAAGTTGTAACTGTGTGACAAGGGTTAGCACCTGCTGCACCCATACCTCGGGGTGGGCAGGCTGCAGGTGTACACCCCACTGTCGAGTGGGAATCGTGGCAACACAGTTGTTGGGGTGCAGCAGCTGCCTGTGCACCTTTTCAAGATCCCTGCCCTATGCTCCCACCACCCTCTTGGGAGGGACTGGGGCTGTGCTTGACTGGGACCCCGATGCAAGGCTGGAGTGGGCACTGCTGGGAACATGTGGGTCCCCTTGTCGAGTTGCCCATCTCTGTTTTCACTGGTGGGCACATGTGGTAACAGTTGTGCTGCAGGATGGGCTCCCACACTGTCTCCTTGGGCAACATGTGGAGAGCTCCTTTGTGTGCTCCTGACTGCATGGCAGGTGCTAGCACATTGCTGACCTCTTGGCTTGCCAGGGCAGGAGCCTGGGAGCCTCTCTGCTGTCTCCACAGCTCTTCCCCATCTTGGTGCTGAGCAGGAGGGCTTGGTGCTGGCCATGCAGGGGCTGGCGGTAAAGCTGCTCTGCTCTGGAATGTCTTTCATGTCATGTTTCTACTCATCCAGCCTTGCATCACTACAGGGAAGCATCATGTCTAGTTTGCCATTTGTTTCTGTCCACCACACAGTGCCCTCTCCCAGACCTCTGTGTCTTGCGACCTGTCCTGCTAGCAGTGACCGTGCTGAGCAGTGCTCTGCCAAGCTCCCTGAGCCCTCTGTGGTGGCTCCCTCTGGGAGCACCAGGCTGGGAGAGGTGATCTCAGCCCCTTGAAGAGCCTGGTCTTGGCTAAGATGGGCTGCTCCGGGGAGAGCTAAGCAGAGCATGTTTCCTGTAGGTAGTGAAGATGTCTGGCAGTGACACCGAGTGCCCCCAGTTCCTCTTCGTGAAGGTGCTGGCGAGCCGAGGGCGGCTGGAGGCGGTGACCCAGCAGATGGGCTACCACCCACAGTACCTCGACAGCTTCCTCAAAACACAGCACTACCTGATGCACATGGATGGCCCACTGCCCTTTGACTGCCGGCACTACATCGCTATCATGGTGAGCCCTGCTGGGAGCTGCCAGAGGGGACAGCCCTGCAGGGCTCCCCTCGCCCTCCAGCAGACAGCCTATATCATGGGCCTCTGCCAGAGGCCAAAATCACAATGCCCTGGAGGTTGAGTGAGGGGTGGGGGTGCAGGGATGCTGATGTGCTGCTCTTGCAGGCAGCTGCCCGGCACCAGTGCCGGTACCTGGTGAACCTGCACGTGCTGCAGTTTCTGCGGGCTGGGGGTGACCCCCAATGGCTGCGTGGCCTTGAATTCATCCCTCCCAAACTCCGCAACCTCAACGAGATCAACAAGATCCTGGCACACCGGCCATGGCTCATCACCAAGGAGCACATTGAGGTATTGGGGACGGCTGGCAGCAGGGCAGCAGTGCAACAGCAGCATCCCCAGGGGCTGTCAGCACCCTGCCCATGTCACATCCCTGGTCTGTCCTTGTTCTGCAGAAGCTGCTGAAGATCAGTGAGTGGAGCTGGTCGCTGGCAGAGCTGGTGCACGCCGTGGTCCTCCTGGCACACTGCCATGCACTCGCCAGCTTTGTGTTCGGCTGTGGCTGCGAGCAGGACGAGGGGCTGGGGGGCCGAGGCTCGCTGAAGCCCTTGTCACTCGGAAGCCCGTGCTTCTGCGAAGCCACCCCCAGCAACAGCTGCAGCCAGGAGCTGCTGCGCATCAACCGCAAGCGGGTGAGCCCCCGAGGGTGGGTCTGTGGGGGTATGGGGGTGCAGCCAGGACTGCTGCCCTCACCCCCAACCCTGTGTCTCCGCAGTCCCTCGACTCTTGTATGGAGCTGGATTCCCTCCGGGAACGCATGCAACGGATCCATGTGGAGACGGAGGGCAGGGAGGACATGAGGCTGCTGCAGCAGGACCGAGAGGAAGGTGAGGAGCAGGGAGTGGAGGTGTGTGTGCAGTGTGGGAGTTCGTATGGCATATCTGGGTGTTCCTCCCCTGTGCCTTACATTTTCCATGATGTGTGGTTCATAGAGAGGCTCACAGGATGCACGTGAGGTGCAGCAAGGGCTGGGTTTCAGAGCCTGCTGTGGCTGGGAACAAGGCAGTTGAGCACTGCTCTGACCCATCTGCAGGGCTCTCCCCTCTTGCAGATACTGACGGGGAGGTCACTGGTGCCACCAACCTTGCATGCTACATGCAAGACCCTGACTTTGGATACCAGGACTTTGCCCGGCGTGACGAGGATCAGACACAGGTATTCAGAGTCCAGGTAAGGTTCCTGCTCTTTCAGTGGGCAGCAGCCCAAGCTGCTGCCTCTCAGCTCCTCTCCTCTCTGCTCTTGGTGGGCAGTAGACAATGGCAGGGGTGCCCAGTGCAGCCTGAATCTGGTGCAGCTGCTTGTGCAAAATGCCTGGGAAGCTCAACTCTGAGAGGGGACCTGCCCCACTAGGGCTGGGAACAGGGAAGTGACTGGTGACTCCTGTCCCCAAGGGCTGACAATTTCTTCACATAGCCCTCACAGAGGCAAGGGTCCAAATCATTCAAAAGCTGCCTGATGAGGGATGCGGTTTGTGGCAAAGCTGCCCCCAGAGCAAACTTGGTGAATTCTGCTGAGTCCTGAGGTCTCAAGCCCTTCTTCGTGGGACCATGCTCCAAGTTCCTTCTTGCAGTTGCAAAAGCCTCTTACTGTGCTCAACAGGATTACTCCTGGGAAGACCATGGCTTCTCGCTGGTCAACCGGCTCTACTCTGATATTGGACATCTTCTGGATGAGAAGTTTCGGATGGTGGATGGTCTGCAAAGCAGTGCCATGGCCAAGCGTCAGGGCTGTGAGCCCTCTGTTTTCAAGCGGGGCATCTGGAACTACATCCACTGCATGTTTGGCATTAGGTAGGGAAACCAACCCCACAGTCCAGGGGAGAAAACTGAGCTGACCCAGGTGGGAGGATAGGGGACTCAGGCTGTCTTGCAGATGAGCATGGAAAAGAGACACAGGTGTATCACCTGCCTGGATATTGGGACAGGCAGGGAAGAGATGCTCAGCTTCTCTGGCCAGGGCAGGGAGCTTTGGGGACAGGGTTTCAGTGCCTGGTGGCCACTGCCATGTGTTCCCCTGCCCCATGGCTGTGCTGTGCCCCAGGCAGACCACAGGCAAGGTGCTGGCCATGACTCGCCCCTGTGCTCCCCACAGGTACGATGATTATGACTATGCAGAAGTGAATCAGCTCCTGGAGCGAATGCTCAAAGTTTACATTAAAACTGTAACCTGCTACCCAGAGAAGACAAACTCAGAAATGTTTGACAGGTTCTGGAAGCAATTCAAGCACAGTGAAAAGGTGGGATAGCCGGCCCCTGGCTCTGACTGGCTGCGGTGGGGCTGGGAGCGGGCAGGAGCTGCAGACTGGGGTGCTTTGAGGGGTGCATGGAAAACCTTTGAGCCACCAAACTAGTCTGAGGTGGCTGGGAGGGAATGAAAACTGGCTGTTCGTAAGGAGTTGGCTTTACAAGTTAACCAGGGAGGTTGTGGCTGCCCCAACCCCTGGTAGTGTTCGAAGCCAGGTTGGATAAAGCCTTGAGCAACCTGGTCTGGTGGGTGTTGTCCCAGCCCAGGGCAGGGGGTTGGGACTAGATGATCTCTAAGGTCCATTCCAGCCCGTGTGATACTGTGATAAGCGTGGCATGGGGCTGCCAACTGTGTGATGAGCACAGGGGCCACCAGCAGTGCAGGGATCTCCAAGGTCCTTGCCCCAAGAGTGAGTGCCTGCAGGTGAGCCCTCCGTCCAGCTGTAACTCGCAGGAACAGCTGCTGTGGGTGTCAGGGACTGTGCCGGTGCCAACCTGCCATGCTGGTGCCAAGTATGCAGGGGACTCCCTGGCATGCAGCTCTGGGAAGCAGCCACAGCCTGCAGGATTGGGAGGAGGGGGAAAGGACAGCTGCCTGAGCTGGAAAAATTGGCGGCATTTTGTCCTATGCCAAAAGACTCACTTGCCCAGATGGGAGTAGCTCGTATGGCTGCCCACAGCACACCACAGCTACCTGAACCTCTCTTGTTTCTCCCTTAGGTCCATGTGAACCTGCTCATCCTGGAAGCTCGGATGCAGGCAGAGCTGCTGTATGCGTTGCAGGCCATCACCCAGTACATGATCTCCTAGATGTGGGGAGCTGCGCTGCGGCAGGGCCGGGCAGCATCCTCTTTCCTGAACTCGTGCGTGACCTGTCCTGCTGGGACCGACGGCGAGGGATTTCTCAATTTAGTTTACTTGACTGTCTTGTTCCTTTTTGTTGGTTCCTCCCCCCGCCTTGTGGGGCTCACTGAGTGGCCCTGTTACGTGCAATTACCAAACTGTGAGGCAAGTCCGTGCTGCTGAGATGCTGGAGACTTGAAAGTGTCCAAGGAGGACTGCCAAAAACATGGGGGGAGAGGGAAGCGGGAGGGGACTGGGGCCAGATTAGAGGGATGCTCCTTGCCTGGGTGCTGTGGGAGCCTTGGTGCCACAGGGAGGGCAGAGGGGAGAGCTGGCTTCCTTCCCTGTGCTGTGGTGGCTGCCCTGCTTGCAAAGCCACCCTTGGGTACCTGTCCTCATCGGGGTGATGTCTCTCACTTGGGGGCAGCGTCTGGGTGTGTTGCAATGTCCTGAGTTGTGTGCTTAGGCAGCAAGAAGTGCTGACTCCCAGCAAGGGCCCTTCCCCAGCCGAGGACAGCACTTGCTGCCTACACATGAAGTCCTTCTAGGTCTATGTGCCAAACCCCTCTGGGATGGATAAAAAATGACCCAGGTGAACTCCAAACTGTGAAGCTCCTGCTGGCAGAGTATCCTTGCACTTTGCCTTCTCTGACAGTGGGCTGAGAAGGTCTCTGATGGTGTTCAGGCACTGGAGGTTTGTGCAGGGGACTTCGGGCAGTCCTAAGCCCCTCCTCTGCCTCCCATCAGCAGAGAGGCAGAAGGAACAAGGGTTGCTTCCTGAGTTAATGAGGTCTGGATCTCCTTACCACCATGAGGGCTGAGGTCCTATGCCTAGTCACTTGCTGCTTAACAGCATGGTGGAAGATCCTGTGGTCAGCACAGGTAAGCTATAGGAGGCTTCTCCTTAAACCTGGGCTGGGGACACTCCCTAGGCTGCCCTCATTTGAACAGCCCGTCCACCAGCCTTGCCCTCTGCCTGGGGGGCAGAAGCATGCACCACTGCTCCTCACATCCCTGGGCTGCTCCCTGCCCGTGCCACAGCCCCTGGCTAGGGACGTAGGAGGGATCCAGTGCAGGCTCTGGAGAGCAGCCACAACAGGGAAATGAAGCCACCCATTGTAAGTGGGAGCCTGAAGCAAGGGCAGCTGTCGAGTCAGCCAGTGCACGCTGCTTCAGTCGACCTGTTTACTGCGTAAATGTATGGGGAGAAAACCTTGTGTATGGAAGCTACAGAAAAAGCCTATTTTTGCTATAAATATATTATGTTTGACATGGATGTGTGCTTTACTTCTGCTAGATGTAAATTACGTGGCTGCTCTGAAGACAGGACAGCAGTGCCTGGCTGACCATAGCCCCGAGTTGGCTCAAGCTCCAGGAAACCCAATGTTCTCAGTCATGCTGGGGTTATGCACTCATAGCTCTCATCCAGAGCTGGTCACTGAGGCTAAAGCCATCATGTTCTGCTCAGCTATGTCCTCTTGCCATGCTCAGATGACATTGCATGTTTGATAGGAAAAAAGGTAAGGTTTTCAAGGGGCTGCAGCACTCCAGCAAGGAGCGTGCCAGAGGAAGGAGCTGGCTGATCCCTAGCTGTGGGTGGGCAAGGTGTGGGGCTGCTTCTGCAGCTGAGGAAGAAGCATTTTGCTCACACTTACATGCAGGTGCTTGGTGAGCAAGGGTAGAAACTAAGACCAGATCTTTCCTGAGCTGGATGGCAGAAGCCCTCACTGTGCTGGGGCTGGGCCAGCTTGTACTGGGCCAAGCTGGTGCCTGGGCAGTAAAATACCAGGACAACTGGTGCTGGGCAGTACCAGCTGAGTCAGTACTGGTGCTGGGACAGTGGCACCAGTGCAAAGATGACTGGTGCTGGGACAGCTGCCACCAGGCTTGGCTAGACAGTGCTGGGACTGGCACTGCTATAGTATCATTTAGCTGCAGCAATGGCTGGGCAGGGATCAGGGCAGCTGGGAGGTGTAGCACGGGTTAACTGTAGCAGCCTAGCTGCCTGCCAGGTGGTTTGCCAGCCTCTCCTGTCCCGGTAAAAGCAGCTCTGGCCCCTACAGGGCTGGGACAAGCCACAGCAGCCAGGGCTCACTGCTCCCAAAGCAGACAGCATGCCTGCGGATCCGTGCAGCCCCTGGGCTGGCTCCCAGCAGCAGCATTCTCACCTCCTGCTGTCACCCTGCACTGGCCAGAGAAGGAAGAAGGCAGTGATAGCACTGTGCTGGCTGGGGGTGAAGGGCTGCCTGTCCCAGGTGATGTGATATTGGCTCACCTTTGCCACCATCTCTGTACAGAAAGGGCTGGCCTAGCAGGGCTTGGGCTCTGTCTCACAGACAAGCACCAACAAGATGAAGGGCTCCATGGGCTGTCAACCCCAAGCAGAAACCAATGGAGCTGCTGGCAAGGCCAGGGGAGACTGCCAGCTTCAGGCAGTCACACAGCACATCACAAGTCTGGCAACTTCAGTGCTTGAGATCCTGTCCTGGTGCTCCCTGCACCCTTCATGTGCTTGGACTAGCATATTTGCCTACAGCTCTGTGGCTGGAAGGAGGAGAGCTTCCAGAGCACAGGGTGCATCACCTCTGCAGGAGCCATCCAGGATGCTCTGCACACCCATGTGGGAGCTAGGCCATTGCAACTGTACCTGGAATTACTGAGGGGAGGATGATACAGGCACATGTCCAAAGCAGTCACTCAGCTTCTTACAAAGCCTGTAGCAGAAGGAAGTGCTGGCAGGTGCAGCCTAGACTGCTTTTGTAACAGCTGAGCTATTCCCAAGCTGCACAGTGGGAGGAATGGTGTGTCCCAGCCCGCAGAGAACACCAAGTCCCACTGCAGCAACAGTACTGCCACAGCTCCTACAACCTACCCATTACACGTCAGGCCTATGACTGCTGCTCTTAGCACAGCCACGAAGGGGGAAATAATAGCATATGGGAGCTGAGGACAGCTCTGCAGCAGGCAGTGTGCACACACCATCTCCCTATTCCCCAGCCTGCCTTCCTCACACACCAGCTCAATCCTCCACCACAAGGCACATGAAGGAGGGCAGCAGAATTCCCTGCTGCACTTTCACACATGGTCCCATCACTGGTGGCACATAAGTGCTCATCAGCCAGCAGGCTTTTGGGGCAAAGCAGAACTCTAGACAGAAACTGGCTTCCTATACTGTTGCACAGGCCAAAATGCTTATGGTGACGACTCAGGAGAGCTACAAGGTCTCCAAAGGTGCAAACATGGTGCACTGAACCCACAGAACTGTTAGAAAACCACACAGCAAGACTCTTGGTGACTACTGAAGACAGTGCCACACTTATCAAAAGCAACCCTGAACCAAGGCATCCAGGTCCCAACCTGGCACGTATTCTGCATTTTGTTCTCCTCAGCAAAGCTTAAATGTCATAGGACAATGCTCAAATAGGCATAGAAAGGGTTTATGGCTACTGGGGGAATGCAGAGTCCCCTGTTCCATGTCACATTTTGAACACATCCACTTCCAATGAACAGCTGCAAAATCCTCAACATTTTGTTACTCCAACAGCACCTACCATTATGTCCTTGCAGGAAACCTGAAGAAATGCCCAAGGAACAGATGAGGGGCAGATAGTTCCACTAAGCATCTCCTCCTAATCCCCCGTTTTTGGAGACTGGTATAAATCTTCCAGCAGAAGCCTTAAGACCCCTTCCAGAGTTATTTGCATTAACTGTTGTAAAGAATATTGTTAAAAAATTATAGTGTTATCAGGTATCATTGAATATTGAGTACCCAAGGCTTTGAATCCAAGTTTTGTGGCTGTATACATACTGTGCAATTTCATGAATGAGACTTTATCCTCAGCAGGTTTAGAACATCCCTGACATGCTCTGTGTCTAACCAGGCCAGTGGAATTCATGCTCTCCACACCTTCCTTCATTTCCTTTGGATTTCCTTACCTGCCACCACTCCAGGTGGCAATACGACTGCGGCTCTGAACTGGTCTCCTCTTCTGCAAGACCTCTCCTGAGCTGTGGTGCACGAAGCACCCCAGGGCACAGGGGGACAGCACATTCACCAGCCTCATCCCAGCTGCAAGAAGGGAGAGCTGCTGGAATTAAGACACCATTGTGATTCAAGGGCTCCAGTGTGTTCCTCACAAGCTGCTTCACTGGCTCAGACTGTATATGCATTACTACTTGCCTTATGTCAAGGAAGGACTCCTTTAAGATACCCAGGTGAAGCCTTCTCCTGCCCAGAGGCCTCTTATCCACTTGTATACCTCTGAGCAGCCTGCAAAGCTCCTGGTTTCCACTCTGACATTCACGCCCCCTTTGATGGGCAGCTCCAAGTCATTATCTTCTAATACAAAAAAATGCTTCCCAGCTATAGTAACCTTCCTTTATCTGATGGAGGATTTGGGATATGCAAGCAACGGTAATACCTCATTCATGTGCTTATCCGTTCTAATTGTGTGCCAGCATCTGCTTGTGGATTGGGGTGACTGAAAGAAGTAGCAGCAAATCCAGCTCTCTGTCCTAGAGGTAACAGGTAGAGCTGCTGCCCAGCAAGAAGGTATTTGAATGTAGCTATATAAAGTGGAGTCACCTTCCGCACTCAGGTCTAGAGAGGCAAGGAATGAAGGGGCTAGAATGACTCCAGACTAGTCCTACAGGATTAAAACTCCTCAGGGTCAGTTTTAGGGCTTGGCAACCCCATGGATCCCCACACACTGCCAGTAACAAGGGGCTCTACACACTAGAGCCTTCATGCGCTGTCACACTGCAACCCTTTCACCTCTGGTCAACTAAGGGGCATTTCACTGAGGGGTTGCCCCAACAAGTGAGAAGGGCAGAAGAAAGAAGACAAGGGCAAGGAAAAATAAGTGGTCCTTGCCAGGGAAACAAACTGGATGAGACACAGAGCACAGGATTACAGGTTTTATTTTTCAAACATTCCCCCCTAGTCTAGCACATTCTACAGTCTTGCTAGCACAGATGGTAACAAAGTGCTGGTAATGGTTGAGAAGTTACACTGCTACAGAGAGCAAACAAAAGCAGAGATTTATTTTTTTTTAAAAAAAAAAAAGAAAATTATTGTGAGGAATGGGTGAAAGAGTGCAGAGGGGATGGGGTGGAAACTATGTCAGCTAGTGGTGCCTGCCCTGTATGCAGCAGACATCTGTGCTAGCAAAGCAGAAACCCTTCCTGGGATCACACCAGGTGAAGACTCTACTGT